TTTTATCTTTTTTCGTTTTTTCTCCTTTCTTTCTCTCATTGTTATTGTCTCTTCAATTCAACTTTTTATCTTTTAATTTTTAGTTGGTTTTGTTGGCTTTTTATTTTTCCGTAAACAAAATAAAAAATTACTCAATTTCAATTCAATTCAAAAAGACCTACTTGCTGCTCCTGTCTTTTCGCCCTTTTAGTTTTTCCCAACAAAATTTAAATTTCTCCATTTTATTTTTAAAAGCAAACTAATGGAATATTCTTATCTTAAACAACAGAATCAAATGAAACTTATGTATGTGAACAAGAGAAGTTGTGATTGGAAAAAAACGTTGTTGCCCATTAGTGAGAAAAAATGAAAACCAAACAAAGAGAATTTCCCCAAGACGACACGAAATGTTAGTTTCTTTTTATCCTCTATGTAAAAACCATTTCTTAAGCATCTTTCCAAGCTTTCATCCTTTTTTTTGTTATTTTATTCAAATTTAATTGAATCATGTAACAAATGGTTCAAAAAGGGAAGTAGGAAAAAGAAAGTGTTAGACTTTATTAAAAAATATGTGACCCTCAACACCTGTTTCTTCCTCCTGCTTGTATTAAATATCAAGATAATACTAATTTCTTGATAACTTTAAATTGCCTTTAAACCTGACTTATACTTTAATTGGGCTGTAAGTTAAAACTATTAGGCTGGCTTTGTCTCTTCATGCTTGTGTTGTGGCTAAGTTTTTATCACAGGTTACAAGTATTCATCACCAATGCACATGTACAAATTTGTTTGCCATCCCAATATATTTACGGAATATTTAAGCGGAAAGGGCACTCTTGAAACAAACTGGTTTTGGCCGCCCAAATCGCAACAAACTACCCCCAAATCTTACATAGGATGGCTTTTTTAAGCTCAATAATGCTTCATTAAACCACCATCTCGCGGGTTCACACCGCAATTCGTGAACATCGAAGCCTGCGATACTTAGCTGCAGAGTGCAAAAAAGAAGCCCACTCCATCATGCTGAGCTGTTCGGCTTGGCAAAGCCAAGCGCCCTGTCGGTTCTTGGGAACCGTTCATCAACCCACATAAGCCGATGTGGTCGCGCGCGCGCGCTCTCTCTCGCTCGGTGACAAGAAATAAATCCAACCATCACCGTCACTTACGACCAGTACATCTTGGATTTTGGGGCCAATGGCTGAAGCAGGTTTTGTTTACGACCTTAGTCTTAAAACAGAACATTTAGGGGAAGGAAATCTGGAGATGAATACACAAGTAGAAATGTGTAACTAAACTGTAAACAGACCCATTTTTTTCAAAGCTGTAAGTTCCTTTACCAGCTCCCCACCAAGAAAACATCAGCAAAAAGTAGTTCTCGCTCAAATCGATTTTAACACCCCTTATATCCCAGGACAGAATTAGCACAGGAAATGCGCCAGGGAATTGACGACAACAGAAAGCTATGTACCATTGCCTGCTGAAAAATCCGAGCTCCTAACAGGAAGCAAATACATAAACCTCAGGGAATCCAAAGTACAGTAAACGCGTGTACAAGCGTTAAGGACATGCCCTTGCAGAAAGGTTGCTCTGATGTTTAGCCCTTGGTAAATGGATAAAAAAATGCCACCAATTTTGGATAACATTGATATTCTGGCATCGGTTAGTGTTTTGAGTTTCGCATGCCCTCTGTGGTAACCAGTTTTCAAATGAAACGACCTCTTATATTCCCCCGACTTACACCCAAGACAGACAGTTACGCGCTATATTTATCTCACCTCCTTTCTCACCACAACCAAGAAAAACACACAACACAAGGCTCTGCAAAACCTTTTTCCCCACCAGCCTTATTTAGTTGCAACATGATTCTATCTTCACTTCATTTACAGATAAAACACCGAGTGTAAGAAGAAATTTTCAAAGTTTTTGTGTTTATATCATATATCTTTTACAGATTACTTGGGAAAAAGAAGCACCGGGGACTCACGTACACACAAGGTGGTATCAACTAAAGTAAGCACAGTAAACATAAATGGCTATTGGCCAACAAGCAACACAGCTACACGAATTGACATTGAAAATGGTTTTTTTCAAAACCCATGTAAAAAGACAGTCCTCAGAGCTAGGCTTTTAATACTAAGTGACTCCAGAAGGTTTCAATTTAAAACTTGCAAACGAGGAAAAATTAACAACCCGCTGCCCTTGTTTGTTCCTTGGAAAATTCGACTTGTTGGCTAACAACAAGCTTTTTATCTAAATGTATCTTTGCAACACCAATATGGCTTGGTGTGAATGATACGATGTCGGAAAAGAAAAAGGATGAATACAACGAAATAGAACAAACCCAGAATGAGCAGTGGTAAAACAAGATGTGTTTTGCTTTAGCCCCTGATGAAAGAAGATGCTCTTGACAGGAACAAGCAGCCCAATTATCTTAGGACATCTTTGTTTCCAATTCCTTCTTACTCCATTGTCGTTGCATTAATCTATCCTTATTCCTATCTTTATCTCTTCACTCTTCACTTCTATTTCTCCCCTCTCCCTATCATCTTTTATCTATCTTTTACTCTCTCTCTTTTTTTTCTATACACGCAAAGAAATCTCTGTCTTGTCTGTTTGTGTCGGTGTCGGCTCCACACTCCTCTGCACGACTCGCGCACACAGCCGACCTGAGAAAGTCTCACACTGGCTTGCTCGTGGTGGTCTCTCACGCGGCTCGTCAACGTCGGCTTTTGTTTTTTGACTACAAAAAACAATCAACCCATTATTTAATTTTATTGTCAATCAAAATGAATTCTTTGAATCGTAACATTGCCCAACGATCAGCCAACCCATACGCCACTGTGCAGCAGACAATCACCTGCAGAGCCCTGTTTGAAAGGTCTGTTTCCAGTTTGCGTCTCCCCCTGTCATCTAAACCCGCGACAATTTATAAATCGATGGATGAGAATGCACTTTTTTTTTTGTATATGTCTTTATCGAATTGAGAGTTCCTGAACCCACCAACATCCTGGAACAGTGACGAAGTTACAGTTTTCTTTCCCAAACCTTCCTTAAACTTTACAACAATTTATTCACATAATAATCACCAGAAGTAAACTACTCCCTGCAAATTGCTTTTTTTTTTCAAACAAACTCCGTGAGTTTTTTATCGCCGGTCGAAGGCGATTGTTATTCCGGGCAGAAAATGGTTAAGGAAAGCACGGTCGTAGGACAAGGCGGGAGGACAAAGGAAGGAAAAAAGCAGCACGCTTTTCCACGTTAAAAGGTTTACAACCTGTTTGGTATTCATTTTTTCCCTCATCAATCTATTCTTCCAAAAGACAAACGTTTTAAACAGTTTCTACGTGTAGGTTTGCTTATTCCCTTTTAGGTCCTTTGTTCCAACGATTGCTTTTTGTGGCACATTCTCTCTTTTTATTAAGTCATGGAAGTGACCAAGGACTTGTGGCAGTTACTAAACTTATTCAGGAAACCCTGTCTCTGACCAGAACACGGCCGTTCCTGGATCCCGCCCCGTCGGCTTACTCCGCTATGAAACTGTACCACGGTGATTTCTTATTTTTTGATCAACTAACGCATTTCGCGAGCGACATTGTCCCCCCTCGTTCGCAAATTCTGAAAGTCTTTCAACAACAGAACGGCATGGTTCGCCGGGGAATTTGGCCTTTAGTTAGGAGCATTCTTAAATGACACACAATATATGTATCAATTCTCACATTTCCACTACAAACTTAAATGTCCCTGACAATCCCAACCTTCCACACACTCAATTTGGCAATCCATTGAAAAGCTACTTTAACATCACCCAGACTTTCTTTAAAATAGCAATACATAACTCTCCTTACGGGCACCTGACTAAAGTATTATAAAGAAGGTTTCTTGGCAATAAAATAACTTTTTTAATACAATGAAATTGTTCCTTAACACATGAAAGCAATCTCTAACCAAAATTTTGTTTGGTCAAGGGCATTCCAACACAAAGATAAAAATTTTCTTTACTGGTATTTCCCCACCGCTCATCTCATTCCCCACGAACCACCTTTAAAAAAAGATCCTTGGCCCTGGATTTTTTGCCCTCTTGGGCAAACGACCAGGCGTCACTAGTTTATTTTTTCATCTTTTAACTGGACGGTTATTATCTGAGGCCTGTAAACTGCCAATTCTGAAAGGAAATTTACAGACATGTACTCAGGGTTTGACACAAAAAAAATGAAAAAAATCTATTAATGAATTTTATAATTAAATAAACAGTGTGAATTTTATAGTTACAATCGAACGTAAATTATTTTTCTTCCAATAAATTAAATGCCAAATAGTGGTTTCTTCAACATATTTTACACCCATTTTTTTGAAACCCCAAACCTGGGGTGGCAGCCTTATTTCCCCCTTCAGTTTCCTGCTGAACGCCTTGGTGACCCACAAAAGTGCATTACCATGCTGTTGGGCACGTTAAACTACAGATCCCAAGCAGCTCCAGGTGCCTCCGCCGGCGGTCCATACGCAGCATGGCGAGATTCTGCAGGAATCTTTCAAACTCCCTGATGAGCCCGGGTTTGGCCAAACCTTGCCCTGAGAATCCAGCTTGCCAGTTACAGATACCTGAGGCAATCAAAAGCACCGATGAATGTTCCTTGGGAAGACAGAGAGCGCACAACACCAATCCAATAAAGAATTTCTAACATTCGCTGGAGCCAAGAGAATAAGTTCCCTCCTTAGGATCAAAACAGGTCAAACCTGTACATGCAACACCTCAGTTGTTAATTTCTCTTAAGGAATGTAACTTTTCTGTTTTGGTTTAGTCCTACTGGTCTCATCACCCTTGTATCCAGCAGGCAGATGTTTTCAGCTAAAAAGGTCAGATAGAACCACTGTATACTATCTGCCCATCAACAAACAGACAAAGTTAAAAAACATACTGTAGTGGAGCATTTAGGTAGCTAACAGTCAATAGTCAGAGTGAATATTGGACTTACAGTCATCAGGTCACCAGAAACACAATTTCAATAATGTTAATTATTATTATTGCTAATGTTGCTCTGCATCTGCTGGATGTATAAACACACATAGGCAACTGTTTTCTAGCACAATATCAATTTTAGGAGGTAGTTTGTCAGTGTGGTGTCACCTAGTGGCCAAAACAATAATTGAATGTTACTTTATAATGTTATTATTTGTAACAAATAAACTAGTGTGGGATTACATGTAATACATCTATACAAGTGTCCAGTAAAGAATTTTAGCAGTAACAGGCCTTTGTCATAGCAGACATTTTGAGTTGCCATAGCAGGAAAAGCACAAATGACACTAATGATCATGGGTCAGTTACATTTGATTGTCTCAGTGAACCAGCATTCATAATATCAGGGCCCCAGACCTGATACATCTAAATACAATGCAGCCATTGCTAATGTAATTATCTGTACTTTCCCTGCTATTTAGTGTCTACTATGAAAAATGTATATATATGTTGAAAAAGTACTTTGTATGGTGTTAGCCACCTGATACGTTTTTAGTCTTTTATGATCCTACTCTAGTCAGTCAGAAAAATAAGCACTCTGTTACATTAGATTTGCTGTCTGTGCTACAAAAGTAAGCTTTAAGGTTTCCTTTAAATCCACAAACATGCAGCTATTTTTGCACCTCATTCAGAAAACTCCCATCCTATGATGTTGTAATTCCAGTCACTGATGTATTTGTCAGCTGCTGTTAAATGTTTGGCGTTTCACCTGAGATTTGAAGATGTCAGACTCAGCATGAAGCTTTGAGTAAGCAGCCAAGAGCTGTTCAGCCTATCACACATAAAAAACTATGGATTGCTGTATCAGCACTGAGTTAACAGGAAACTTATTACTTTTGCCACATCAACCTTTTGGCTCACAATTAGGTTACCTTGAGGCTTTGAAGACAGTAATATTACAATTTTACTAGGTTCTTTTGTTTGATTTGCTTGCTGGTCTCTGTTGTAGAAGGGCTCCACAAGGTGTTGGAGGAGAGACAGCTTGTTGATGTTGCAATTCCAACCCCTGGCCTGTAGAGGTCAATAAAGGTCACTGATCATTTTATGGGATCTCTGCGTCACTATAGGGTATCCTGGGTTCTGGCTTTGCCCTCAAAGTCCAAGAGCAACACAGACAGAAACATTTTGAGAAGAGACGTAACCCTGCAGCGGGCCTCATCCAGGTACACATCCAAGAAAAACTGTATGATAACACCATATATCTCTCTTTTGTGCTCCTGACAAAAAGCTAAAAGAAATACTTTTTTATTTCTTCATCCAGGGTGCTTGGAGGTTTTATGCTACCAACCTTTCCCGTACTGATCTTGTAAGCACTTGGGATTTTTACGAGCAGACTGTAGCTGTTCCAATGTACAGGTAAGTAATAAAACTGTCTGAATAATGCTGAATATTATTTTAGCATTTTCAATTAATACAACTGTTTTCCCAGATCACATTCTGCCATCTCTCTTGAAACTGGAAAGCTGAGAGGAAATCTGAGCTTACTGAGTATCTTCATCTTATTGTATTCCAAACTCCCTTGTTGGATCAGATACTACTGTCTGTTGTTAAGAATCATACACTGGTGTGACGTTTCACTTTCTGCTTTAACAAGGGTAATTTTACAGTGGATGCGGCTGCTGTTGGCAGTGTCACCTGGCCCTCTTTGAAATGCTGTTCAGAAGACAAACACTGCCAGTGGCTACTTTGTAAAATTAACCACCTATATTTCTGTCCAACTGTATGAATCAGCAAATGAGTCGCTGTGCTTGACTTTCACAACGCACATGCGTCTAGAAGTAGAAGTTCGCTGTTTGTCTGTTCTTTTTGTAAATGGCATCATGTTCGGTTTTATTCCAGCTGTAATTTAAGGTGAAAAGGTGATGACCAGCAGAATAGATAACTGCCGAACTAAATGGAATTAGCTTTAAAGTGCCCAGTGGCGAGCTTTAATCTTTTCAACACTGACTTGGTGAAACTGTCTTGACAGAATAATAAAATGCTCTTTGTCTTTTCTCCAGAATTATTCCACCCCTGAATCAGCTGGACCTGCTGAGGAATCTAAAGGGCAAGTCATTCAGGTATAAACATGACAACAGAGCGACTAAGGTGATGATGATGATCTCATGATGACGAGGATGTCAAAATGCTGATAATGGGGATAACAGTGATGATTATAATCTTGAAACAGAGAAGACAGATTTGAAAAAAGACAAAAGAATTTGTCCTCCATGTTAAAGCTACACCTATCAATATCATTATATTATTCATGACAAGTTTATTGTGTCCTTCATAGCTTTGGTTTTCTGGTCTGCAACCTTACTGTTTTGGTTCACTCCCATAGGGCTGTTTGTGGACACAGCAGACATTATTATTAATATATGATTTACAGCTGCTTGTTCCCCATAACTCAATATATGAAAATATTTTAGTGTCAAAAATCAGTTATTGCAGGTTTAAACAGATAAACAGATTCCTTCTCCATATCTAGTGATGAAAGCACCGGCACTGGATTATATAGATGTTTGGTTGTTTTGTCTTGTTTTGCACCAGCACAGCTTTTTTCCATCCAGCAGCTAATATTTCTCTGGGCATGTTTCTGTTGCTCGAAGTTATTCTCAGAGCTAATGCAACTCATCCTGGTGCGCTTATGCCATACAGTGTAATAAGTGACTGACTGTAACAGTTGGAGTCTTCTCTCCTCACAGGAAGGAGTCTCAAACAGAAACCTCTCCCAGGTCTGTGATCTGATTGCTTTTGTTTCTCTCTCTTCACCTCCCTTTGGCTTCTCTTCAATTTTGCTCTTAGCTGCTGCTGAGGCACTCTTCTTGGGGGAGTGTGTGTACTGTATATCTGTGTGTGTGTGTGTGTGTGTGTGTTGGGGGTTATTGTAAGTCCTGCGTGTCAGACATGTTTGTGGCTGTGTGTTAAGTGCCTCCTTCAAGAACGGTCCTGCTGCATTTGCTCACATGGTGCTCAAAGATCAGCTCAACTTTGGCCTAACTCCCAACTGGCAGCTTTATTAAATATTCACCAATAAGCTGTTCTTTGATAGCTTTCAGCATCACCTTGGGTAAAAGTGATTTTGAACACTTTAAGGGCCTTGCTTGATTTTTGTCACACTGTTTTTGACAAAAGAAACAAGTGTAATTAATGACAATGTCGTAACACTTTATCATGACTTAGTCCTTTATAATCCGTCTGCACATTTTGTTGAACTATAATATGAAAAATCAGCCCAAAAACCTCATTAGAAAGATGCTGGAAAAATAAGGCCTGTTAATTAAAACATGATGGACCATCAGGTTGCAAATGAATTATAAATTATAGTTAAAATAAAGTGTTACTGACATCACAGTATGGCACACACTGCTGTTTTTGACTGTACCCACTGCTATTTTACCTTTTTGTGTCTCCTCTAATGCCCACCACTCCAGTAATGAAAATGCACACAAAGACAGACTTTGCGGGTGCTGTCCGAGAACTCTTAGGTATAGTTGCTGCATAGATACTAACAACTGCACTGCAAGTCTGTGTGTCTCCTTACATTCCAACCTCTGTTCCTCTCCCTCTTTAAACAGACGCAAAGGTAGAGGAATGACAGAATAACAATCCAATCTGACTAGTTAACCTTTTATAGTGTAGCTCTGTCAGTGATGTCTACATGAAAAGCTTAATGCTTAAACACAAGAGCTAATCTGCCCACACCTTTTACCTTTTTCTCTGAAAAAATGCAGATATACATCCTTGTTTACTGCCTTGTCACAATTGATTTATGATTTTTGTTTAATAATGTCTTTATGCAATTGATTTGCTTGCTGCCTTTTTTTGCCTATTCAGCCCATATAAACTTCTGTTCAGCAGGCGAGGTGCATATTGCTGAGTACCTAACAATTTGTTTCCTTTGACTGATTCCTGTGTATCAGGTGGAGCATACAGTATGATGAATTATTTTGCATGATTTGTGTTCATTTTTTGCATAGAGTGAGGCCACAGCTTATCCTTTTGAGACGTGCACTGTCACTTTGCTTCCCATGCATGCTTGCTTGTAGCTTCCTGCTGCTTGCCTGACCCACTGAATGCTCCACTGTGTTCGTATGTGGACATGGCTCCTTCTGCTGTAGGACATTGCCCATTTTGCGTTTCTGCTGAGGTAAGATTTACTATCACATCAGTGCTGAATTCGACCAGTTCCCTAGAGTATGCTTAAAACAACAAAGTAGTAGGATAAAGACATTTAGTTACAGATATTTATTCACTTTTAATTAAATTATGCTGTAAAAAAAAACTTGGTTCATTCGTTCTTCTCATTACTTGCTGTCTGTAGTCGGAAGGCCAGCCTGAAGGACAAGGTGTTCCCCAGTCCTTCCAAGGCTCCTGTGGCAAAGGGGAAGCCCCAGTCTCCAGGGGCGGAGGACAGGGCAGAGGCAAGTCCCAGCAAGGTCACCAAGACCTGGAGCTTCAATGAGAAGAACCGAGGGCCAAAGCACGCCTTCAGAGTCCGGGGCAGCACCTCACGCCAAAACTCAGAGGGTGAGGGAACTTATAACCTCAATAATGAGTGTTAGAGTACAAACCAGGTTTTGACACATATGGACTTGAAGGACAGTAGCCTACCATTACTTTTATATTTAGAATAAATAATATATAGGAATGTAAATTATTTATTTGCTCTATAATATTATTCATGTTAAGGAAGAAAGTCTCATGAAACACCAAACTCTGGAGAGAAACTGACTATTTAACATAGGTTTGCAGCTTTCTAAAGGAATAGATCAACATTTTAGGAACTACACTGATTCGCTTTCTTGTAGAGAGTTATATGAGAAGATCAATACCACCCATGTCTGTATGGTAAATATGAAACTACAGCCAGGAGACTATTAGCTTAATTTAGCATAGAGACTGGAACCAGTGGTGAACTGTCAGCCTGGCTCGGTCTAGAAGTAACAAAATCCACCAGCACCTGTAAAGCTCACTAATTAACACCTTGCATCTGGTTTAATTCGTTCAACACCCATATACAGTATAAAAAGAGTCTAGATGTTAGCTGTTCTGTGAGCTGTACTAAGGCACAATGTTGCTTTGAGCTAAATGCTAGTTTCAGTATGCTTACTCAAAACCACAAACCTTATGCCTCAAGGAAAACTCAGGCATCATCAAAGTCATTAATGTACATATCTGGGAACCATGAATTTCTGTACATAATATTGTGCCAATCAGTTGTTGAGATATTTCAGGATAAGAACATTTTGACTTACTATGCTATAAGAAATGTCAGGGGACACCAGAGTGCCTTGGAATCATTCTTTGAGGACCAAATGTTGTGGCACTCTGGACCACAGGGTACTGACCACCCCACATTTTGATCTCCAGAGCCAGTTGCCAAGACGGGGGTTATGTGCTAGAACTACACAGTGCTCAGTTTTTGAATGCTTTAAAATTAAACATCACAAAGCTTTACAAGCTGACAAATTATCTCACCTTTGGGCAGAGCCAGCCTAGCTGTTTCCTCTTGCTTCCTGTATTTATGCTAAGCTAATTGCTCGCTGAGGATGGAGGGTGTCATCCTTTGAAGCTAAATTGTGAATTGTGATTTTAGCTTTAAAAGAATACTCACTTGATGGTCAAACTTCTCATCAAACATCCCAGCAAGAAAATGAATAAACGTAATCCCCAAAACTGTTTCTTTAATCTATGTGACCATATTAAACTGGGCTCCTTCAAAGTCTTTCAAATTACAAATCAAATTTGAAAGAAGAAAACAATTCAATTCAGTAACAACAAAATTGCATTGTTGTTTTACTGGCAGTTTTCATGTAAAGAAAGATGCCTCTATAATATCTTTCAGTGCACACAACAGGCCGTCATAAAAAGCTAATATACATCCAGTATTTTCTGGATGTCACTACATTGCTCAAATTTTCCTCCAGTTTCCTTCATTAATGCCATTTTTCTAAACTGAATCTGTTGGCATTTAGATCACAAGTTATTTTTAATAAAACCATGTACAGTATCTTACTTGACTATTGCTTAAATTGTTAATGCTAGAAATGTCCACAGTTCTGAATCAGTTGTAGGATATTCATCACAGTGAGGCTCCATGCCAGCTCAAGGCCCACAGCTGTGTGTTGAAGGAGGGTGTTGAAGGCATTTAGAGTAATTGTTAGCAATCAAGCCTCTCCCTTTAAGATGCAGTCATTGTGCAAACTTGGCATGCAGGTAATTGCTATATAGTTTGTCCTGCATGTATTGAAACATATGAAGAAGATGGGGCCATTTTCTCAACACACTAAAACCAACAATTCAACATTGTACTGGGGTGACAGAGGTCTGTTTGTGTCCAACCATCATTTATTGCTAGAAAAGCCCAATTGCATCCATATGTCATCCAGGCCACTGTATCACTATCAACAAATATACTTCTTCTTTACCATTCTTTCTGCCTTTTTGTTAAACAATTTGAACCAATTCTCATTAGTTCTTTTTCTTCTTCCGCTTCATGGCATGTTAAAGTGCTGATTGAAATGCAGGATGAAGACTTTGGACTGAAGAGTTCTCCAGGTTAGATAAGTCATCATGACATGTCTTCAATTTAGGTAGTCTGTAATGTATATTTTACTATATATGTTATATGAAGCTTTATAATATTTGTAGTTTGTTAAGCATAGATGTAAGAGAAGAGAGACCAGCCCTTTCAAACATGAACCAGAAACCATTCAGTGGGCTCCACAAGATCCCATGTTTGGAATTGATTTGTCTGCCATAGTCATCCTGCTAGAATCCATAACAAATCTTTCTCCATGTCTCTCCTCTCTCTCTTTTTGCAGCAATTGAAGGTTTAATAAGTAAGACATTGGGATATTTTGTTGGTTGGCTTCTATGGGGGAAATAATCAAAAGAAGTCGGGTTCACCGGTCTGAGAAAACCTGCATGCTGAAACCTGCTGAGATTTGTTCACTTGACATGAACCCTTTTCATTTTGAGTCCCCTCCCCCCAATAATGACTGAAGACTGAAGCATGATACTAGCTGAGAACACGCATGTAATGATTTAAGTGTTTATTAGGATCCTAATAACGCTATACACATGATTATAGTATTCATTTACAGTAGTGGCAGGCAAGTTAATGTGGTAGGCAAGTTAATTGTGGGTTCAAGTCAAGTGGTGCCAAGATAATCCAAAACCGATCCAGAGACGAGATGCCCAAAAGCCACGCTTGACGTTGCATGAAGAGACCTCACTTTCCCTACCAGATTTTCATCTAATTTCTGATAAGCAGTGATTAGGCCTTTGCCTTTATGCAATATGCTGCAAAATCTATAGATTAGCCTTCTGGCTAAACTCAACATGCTAGTCTAAATGCTAATCTAGAGTATAATTGGTGGTGGGAAGAGAGTACTTGCCATTAAAGGTTCCAATAAAGCTTTATCCCATCAGCACTATCCTTCAATTCTGCACCAAGTCTTTTTGTTCTGTTGTTCACCAAAACCCGCTCACTACGCTCACAAACTGGCTAACTGGCTTGAAACCAACTTGGTAATTGAATTTTGCACCTTTTCAAAGCTAAAAGCAACAGCTCTGCTTTGCTTCTGCTGTGGACGCTGGTTGTGTGGAAGCAGATGAAATATTCTTTAAGAGTGTCCTTCTCTTTGCTCTGTAGAGGCGAGCCTCCCAGGGGAGGAAATTGGTGATGATAAGAGCTGCCACTGTGAGTTTCTCGCTCAAGACTTACCGCCAGGCTTGAAGGTTACAATAAGGGCAATCTGGTAAGGATTCGCATTAATACCTAGTTTTTATGGTTCTGCAATGTTTACTTCACCCATGGAGACACACTAGGCAATTATGGTTTGTGTTTATGTATTTTCCTTTAGCTTGTGGTCATCTATGGTGCAGGACTAGCTCTGATTGTGTTTAAAGGATAATTCCAGTTTCAAGATTTACTCTTTTAGTTTTATTCCTATACATAATATAGGATAATAACATTGTACTTAACAAGTTAATTGGTGAATCTGGGAACATGGTTACACCGCTAAACAGATAAAAGAATGCAAGCAGTTCAATATCCAGGTTATTCAAAATTTTTATATCAGTATATATTATATATTAGTATATGATGGTAATGGTGGTACATTTTACAGACAACTTTCTGGTTATACTTTGACAAACTTACTTTACTGTAGTCGAGTGTGCACAGTTTTCCTGTGCAATTATACATTTTTAGTGATTATTTTGTAGCACTGATTTCAGTTTTATTTCCAAATAAAGTATTTGGATGTAATCTGGCTGTCTGGTTGTCTACCTGTTTGTGTTTGTTTGCCCCATTGGACTGTTGCAGTGATATTACCATGTTGCCAGATCTCAGCCAATACTTTGTCAGTGTTGTTATAACCAAAAGGATGATCAGAATTATGAGCTGTTATGAGCTTCTTAATTCAAGGTCCACTTACTAGATTTTTCCAGAACATACAACCCCAGCTAACAGTCTCTATCAGTGGGAGGGGTTTGCTCGAATGTCAGTCGAGTTGCCAATATACACCTACAATATGTCCACCTGTTATTGCTTGACCAAAGATCCACACGTAGGTCACATGATGACAAGTGAGCCAACTTGTGAGATGTGGTGGGAAAAGCTAGTAAGTGTGCCCTGGGTTAAGATTATTTTGTCCAACTTTTTATTACCCTTTAAGAAAGAGTTTTCTGCATCTGCTGTGTCAAATTGTTACGACTGGCATTTTTAATGAAACACATTTTGACATGTCACAGTAGGAAAAGCACAGCTGTAAATAATTAAATTAATGATGTCTGAATTCCATTTAGCTGCTTCAGTTTCAGACACTGGGTATTGTTGATACTGGGTCACGGTCACACTTCATGGCTTACCGGGACACTTGAATAGAATGGTGATGTCATTAATGTTACAAGTAACACCTGTGCTTTTCCAACAAGTGTTGTCACATGAGAAAAAAAATGTGTCCTCCCTCAGCATCATGAAGTTTCTGGTGACAAAGAGGAGGTTTAAAGAGAGCCTGCGGCCTTACGATGTCATGGATGTGATTGAGCAGTACTCTGCAGGTCACCTGGACATGCTGTCTCGCATTAAGAACCTGCAGTCCAGGCAAGTACACATTCACAGTACTTACAGTATATTTACACCGGTTTAAAATCTGACCCACACTATTTAACACTTTCACTGTGAGCCTAATGTCAGGATGGATATTGAGGATACATGGAAGCATTTTCAGAGTTTTTTATTTGGTTACATAATTAGAGTAGAGATGTGTATCAGTAATAGTGTTTGTGGTGTCACTGGATACACACATGTTGTGACACACAAGTCATTGATATGCCTGTTTCATTTGTCCAACTACATGTGTTGTATTCAGGTCTCAGTTTTATATCTCTAACCTTTATATATCCAAATATGATTCACTCCTTCAGCTTTGAATGCGTCACAAACTCATTTTCGATATGACATTGATGTATAACTCACATTGTTTTCTGTATCAGTTTTACCTCCTGCAAATTAGCTCCTCACATTTTGATCCCCCTGAAGGTCTAACATGTAGGATAAATATATTCCAACAGTGAAATACATGCACTTTGCATCCTCGAAGCAAGTCGGACTCACTGTATGTCTCGTGTGTGTGTGGAATATATTGAAACTTGTACTCCATAGCTGATGTGATTCCCACGTTGCTTCATTTTGCATTGCACTCATATCGTCTCTGTGTGCCTTGCCAGGATAGATATGATTGTGGGGCCCCCTCCCCCATCAACACCTCGCCATAAGAAGTCCACTGAAGGTCCTAGGTTAGGTTAATAGACTGCACCTCTAGAATGACCGTTTTACCAGCATTATGCTCCTAATACCATAGTCCAGATATTAAAGCAGTTACATGCTACCTTATTATTTTGATTGACGAAACCCCTTTTGAGTTCAAGCCACTTGAACTGTCTCATTACATGCTAATAATACGTGCTCAAGCAAGATTTTATATTAAATAAAATCAAGAAAGGTGTCTGATAAACAGTTTTATATGCAGCATTTTGAGGATGTCACTTTAGCTCTTGGGTCACATTATATCAGCTGCTGTCAAGAAAAGGCCAAACAAAGAAGAAAAAGTGAGACATCCCGCGGCTTTCTCACCGAATGTTAATGAGCCATGTCATATGGCCTCACTCAACAGGGGTTTGACAGTGCTAGATGCTTGCTCTCACACTGGAGAGACAGAGGGAGAGCTCCCCCAGTAGGTTGCAATGGAAATGAAGCATGAAGCACAACAAAAGCATGCCAAGTGATGCATTTTGGCCCCTAGACAAAATGTCCCCTCTATTTACACTGTTAAAGACTGCAAAATTTCATAATGCATGCATCCACACCCACCGTCCACCTGAAGTCAATACTAGGAAATGCTTAAGTGTCAGGCCATCATTCATTCATTCAAAACATATTCGTAGCTTGACGAGTATCATCAACATAAATGCTTTCTTTACCTTATTCCCATGCAACAGTAATTCAAAGTATGGCATCATGAACTTTAGTTAAAACAAAAGGGTTAAACCCTTGTGGCACAACAGAGTGTGTTTTTTAATCTCAGATATTACTTTTCTCAAATGCTAGAGTTGACCAGATAGTTGGTAAAGGTGCTAAAGCTGAAGGAGAGGCTGCAGATGACCAGAGCATGATGGGACGTCTGGTCAAGGTGGAAAAACAGGTATGAATGTTTCTTCCAGGTCTGTAAAAGTTGTACAAGTTAGTTTAAGGTCAAACATGGCTGGTGATTGAACTATTTCTTCATTTTGTGTTTTTCTGTCTTCCTACAGGTGGTCTGTATGGACAGGAAACTTGATTTCCTGGTCAATGTGTATGTGCAGCGTATGGGTATCCCTCGTTCAGAAACAGAGGCCTTTTTCAACTCCAAAGAGCCGTATCCAGCCCCGCCTTACCACAGCCCAGAGGAGAGCAAGGTGGAGAAGGAGGATAAAGAGGAGGTAAAAGAGGAAAAGGAGGTGAAGACATGCTCTCCTGCAGATGTCCCGTGTTCTGATGGGTCTCTAGAAAAGAAAGATCCTTTACTGGGTCGGTCTGTGGCGATATCAGTGGGTACTCCCTCTGGCAGCCACAGCCGCCCCTCTACCTCCTGGCAGCACCAGCTGCAGCATCCCCTCAGCCAGCCCGCCTGGAACAGCAGCGTGGCCAACACCCCTTCACCAGTCGGTGGCAGCGGCGATCATTCGCCCACCCTGTTCCGGCTCCCGCCTCCACCTGCTCCAGTCCACGACCGATCCTCCTCCGGCCCGGGTGGCAGTGGCAGAGAGAGCAGCTCCCAGGGCAGGAGGCGCCACAGGAGGCAGAGGTGTCAGCAGGATGCCACCGCTGTTGAGAGCGACACGTCTCTATCCATCCCATCAGTTGACCACGAGGAGCTGGAGCGTTCCTTCAGTGGCTTCAGCATCTCCCAGGCCAAGGAGGACTTCTTTGGGCCTTCTTACTTTACAGGCTCAGGGGGGGCAGCTGGAGCAGGGACTGAAGCCGCAGCTGGACCCTCAATCTGTGCCAGGGTCAGACCCTTCATAGCAGAGGGAGAATCAGACACAGACTCTGACCTCTATGCTCCCTCTCCTCTGTCCTTCACTGGAGAGGTCTCATGTGGGGAGAGGGCATGGCCAGGACTGAAGTAGGTCAGGAAAGGACTGTTCTGCCTGGAGAGAAGAGATTGACGCTTCACTTGCCAACAGAAGACCTTTCATGAGACCTTGTAGCCAACTAACTGACTGTTGTTGCTGACGATGCTATTACAGACTATTGTACGTTAAGTGAATGGTTACGATTAGGTGTTAGGTGTATTGCTGAAGATGGTTCAAATATAAAAAAGGGGTTGTTCTTTATCACCTTTTTGGTTTGTGATGTAACACTACAAGCAATGCTTCATTATATTTGCATTGTATCCATAAATATTTTGATTGAATAGGGAAAAAAAGCTATCTAGGGACATTTCTTTAACTTGTTGGGGACATCTTTGTTGCATTTATTAGTAATGAAAGGTACATGAGAGTGTATATGTGTGAGAGACACATATTTTGTCATCAAACTTATACTTTTACATTAATTTGTATGGAACATAAAAGATAAAATCACTTTGATTTATTTTATGAATAGAGTGCATTTCAACACGTCCACTGCTACACCAACCACTTTCAAAATATAGTGGGAGTCAGTAATGCAAGATTGTTAAAATCACATTGGTTAGCATAGTGTCTTGATAACTTCTATACCTTTGAATGACTTGAGGTGTTATGATGCCAAAACCTTAGCTATGATAATCAATTAGATTCTCGCAGTGTAAAAAAAAGTGCTTGCTTTTCAGCATCATTAATTGGTGCCTGGTGTTTACTGAATACTGCAGAAGAACTCCCCTCAAAGTATTGCAGATACTTCCCCGCCAATAAACCAGTGAAACTACAGCATGGCATGTTAAATGGTTGATTTAAGGACTGCGTAACCACAAAACCAGACAACAGCTGCGAAAAGTCAGCAGAATAATTCCACGATTGTTTTTCTTCTATACTGGCAAACAGAGCGGTGAATAAAACATTAAAAAGTGCATGCATGACTGGTTTTAAGCCACAACGTGTTAATTTTTTTATAGGGCTTTGCTTGAATTTCAATCATGTAAATGCAGCCCGAGCTTGCTAATTTCAATGGCTCTTCTTTTCTGGGCAAATATGTCCATCAATTATCTATACATTAAATACAAAGGCAGAGGTTTAATGTTGCATATGGAAATGAAGTGCTCATACATTTTGTATTGTTATCACACAACATGCGGTGTTGAAGTTGGATTGAGTGGGGCATTTGTTACTGAGACACAATGGTATTCAGCCTGCAATGCATTGGTCAGTCATTTAGACTCTTTGCTGCTGTGTCAGTTTGGCACTTAATACGGAAATGCAATAAAAAGCAAGCAAGGCAATCAAGAACCATCCTTTACCAACATTGACATGGCCTTATTTTTCACACAAAAGTCCACTGTTTTGTAAGTAAACAGATTAACAATTTCATTCTAAACATTTCATAAAAGTAGTGCAAGTACATTTTCAAGTGTAGTCATCTATAATGCTAAAAGCATGGGATTCATAGGGGCATCTGAACCATGGACAGTTCTTCCCAAGTCACAGCAAATCAACATTTTAATATTAACACTGAAACATGGACATGATGACAGAGGATATATCATTTAACAGAGACTGTTCACACAAGATTCGCAATCCATACTTTTCAGAAAAGAAGAAACAAAACTGCTGGCATGTTTTCTACAACCCAAAGAAAGGACCTGTAGGGTTTTACATGATACAGTAACTCTTAGTTCAACACCGTCATGTAACTGCACCTTCTTTGTCTTCAATAATAAAACTTTGTACATCACTAAAAAAAAAAAACATGGTCTCCTGTTTTTATTCTCTATGTGTAATGGTGGCCATTTATCACTAGATGGCAACCAAGAGCTTCAGTTGAGTGGGTCCTTTTTAGATAGATAGATAGATAGATGAGATAGATAGAAGATAGATAGGATAGATAGATAGATTAAGATAGATAGATAGATAGATAGATTTCTAATAAGTCATCCTTTCTAAAGGGTTAGTCAGTTGTGACTAATGGCTTTATTAATTTAATAGAATAATCAATAATTTATAATGCTTTATATATGAGTTATAAGCCATTTGCCATTATTATTTATTTATTATTACCAAATAGAAAGGATACACCAGCCAGGGGGATTTGTCAGAACCTGACAACCAAAAAGTTGTTCTTATTGCTGGATTATAACAGATCCATAGCAAAACTGATCTGTAAAGCATTAGTAAATGGTTCATTAACCACAAATAACTGGTATTAATTAGTTAGAACATATAAACCCTTTATAAAAGGTAATTACACAGAAAGTGGTACCTGGAGAAGTTAGTTAGGTCGGCCAGTGACAATGGGCAAAAAGACTTGGCTCAAAGTCAGCAGTCCAGTTCATCCCAAAGGTGTTGGGCAGGGTTGTAGTCCGGACTCTGTGCAACCCAGTCAGCACTCTTGGTGGACAATATCATTGCATGCTGCAACATTAAAATTTACCCCTAATTGGAATTTAGGGGCCTATCACAAACTATGAAAACAGCCCCAGACCAAAGGTACACAAAAGCATATGGCTGTTTAAATTAAGCCACTGTAACTCCCTCCTTGTATGCATATGTCAGCATAAGGTTGATTTATTCATTGCTATTGCCTGACAGATTTTATTTAACAACCTATTTAACAATCATGGCTGATGTCAATGAAAAAGCAAAGGAGCGTTTTCATGCCACAAGCTCTACCCCAGGTCAGCCAATTTGTTAAGTGTTGTGAGGCCAGGATTTAAGTTGAAAGGGTGATACAAATAGGAATTGATTGGCTCATTAATAAAAGTCAGGTGATGGCAACACAGAACCTAAGGCTTATTTACTCTCTGTAGCACCTGGGGAATTGCAGATGTCTTGACTACCCAAAGCACGGACCAGAGGACAAGCATCCAGCAAAGATAAGCATCTGAAATTGAATGTATATGACAGTGAATAGGTGCATACTATCATTATATAACCAGAATGGAAAATGCCTGTTTGTGACAGCAATGTACCAAGGACCCAAGGACAAAGGCAAGCAGAGTTTTGCTGTGAGTCATGTTTTTTTACAGTGGAAAACACTGTTTAAATAAATGTTTTCTCTGGATTTTCTGTTTCCTTTTGTTGCAGCCCATCTGCTCTGGACATTTATTCAAAGATGAGAGATTTGCGTATTAAACAGCATCATTAGATTGAGGTAGGACATTGACCCTTTGGTGATGAATGATAAGACCCAACAATCAATGAAACCATTAGTGAACCGACTCTTACGAGAAACCTGTCCAGAGAGAGAGAGGGGTCAAAAACAGATGGACTGTATGCATTTTGGTAATGGTATGTGTGCTGACATGTTTCACCACTGACAGCAATGCGATAAAATGTAGCTCAGTGGCCTCTTCATACACATTTACAGGTACAGTTTCTTTGCATCTCTTCAAAGGAACAAACAACACGGATACCCTCTGATTGATTGCTCTTCAAATGTATAAATAAATTAACTTCCATGCTGTGTCTTTACATGACCTCAGATCAAATTGTAACAGATGACTTTCTACATTCACAGCTGAGAGGAAGAAGTGACTCTGGTGTCCTTGGCACCAGCTGTGTTTGTGTATAGGTCTGGTCTGGTGGTCTCCATGTAAACATTTTATTTATGTATAGTGTTAGTTAACATTAGCAAAAGGCCATCAATGTCCACCAAGGGCAGACACAGGTGACCTTCCTTTCTCTCTCCGCCACACAAACACATAGAAAGACACGCGGGTCCGTAATGATGACGGGAGAGGGGATTAACGGTTGTGTAAATGATATTGGTGCAACATATATCACAATTTAGATTCATTACACAGTGGCTGCATTTCAGACAAAGGTTTTCGCAAAATAAACAACAGCGATTTGTACTGCTGTAATGCTTCATGACTGCAATTGGTTGTCATTCTAATAACCCAATGGAAAAGTGTGGCTTTCATATTAAGATATAAATGTGTGAAAGCATAAATGTATACACATGAAAAAACAGAATCATATGTAGGACAGGTGTATAATATGGAAGAAAGAGGGATTTATAACTGAGGTAAATGTGAAAACCTTATTCTTAATTAACTATATCATCATGTGTGTAATTCGAATGTGTTTCTTCTTTCAAAATTATATTATTTCATTTCTGGGTCAAGAATATAAAAGTTAAAAGTGTGAATCCACATATTGGTTCCTGTAGGAAAATAATACCTTGGAGTAAACCTAATTGAGTGCACACAGCTTATCATTAATCATCAGACAATTACTGAATTGGATTGATCTTAATTCCCTGAAGGCTTTTGCCCAAAGCAAGTCTAGTGATCCATTTATTAGATCGAAGCAAGGATAGGGCAATTTTATTAATGAATATAACCTAACCTGACTAATTAGCTTGATATACTAGTTATTAGACAGCAAAGTCGCAAGTATGTAACTGTGCTTGCATGTGCACAAATTTAGAAAAGCTGACCAGAGAGCTGTGTACCAATCAACTTTTTTATTACATTATGGGCAGGTACACGATCAGTTGAAGTGAATTTTCTACCACAATTTACTACCCTCTTAATCCTACATGCAGTTATTACATAATCAGTTTCATCCAGACTTAGACTGCATATTAAAATAAACTAGTTTAGGCTATAAATGTACACTGCAATGACCTGAACACTAGTGAACATGTTTATGGAGCCATGTGCTGTCTCCCTTTATTTATTTAAAGAAAATACATAAACAACATTTGATATGTGATATATAATGTATATATGATGTAAATCACAGTGAGGACTTACTGAAGCAATAATAAACCACATATTTTTGGTTTCTTTTAAAGAACATGAAAACATCATCACAAGTCCAGTTGGTTCGCCAGTAAATAATTCAGAACAAGAGGAAAGAACAGAAAACTCGATTTTCTTAAGTGAATCATGTCAGTCAGACAGCTTTTAGTTTGCACCCATCAACAGACTTCACACACACCTTTATCTCAAATACAGATGGACCAAAAAACTATGATTTTGTGGTGGTTGTGATGTTTATATAATTTATGGTGTGTTCATCAGAGATTATACCATGTTGTACCAAACTCCTCTCTACCTCAAACCTCTACATTTATTATGAAACTTTCCAGATCTTGTCATTCCCTACCTGTCCACCAGATGCCCTCAGACTTTCCTAGCATTTGCCAGTCACCTAAACTTGCTCCGTACGACATATATAAATAGCAACCACTTCCCAGTCGTGCCTGTTAACTGCAACTAAGTTTAAAGACATTCTGTCAGTCTGTGTGACCCTATTGTACAAGGAACCCGGTGACTGAAGTAGTCATTAGTAGTTACCTTTCAAGACTGAAAACCCCAAATTGAAGTTGACAGATTTTCATTTAAGAGTGATGATGTCAGATGCCAATCATGATTTATCCTGTAATTTCCAGACCGATCCACATAAATTATAGATTGATTGGTCAAGGATATTGACTTGGATAACAGACGGATACTGAATAAATGTTCTTAAGTCTTACGTCAGCTTTGCTTTCTCTTTTTCTGTCACTATATTTCAGTTTACTCTGAAGTGAATGGCACAGAATTCTAATTTACTTCAGTTTACTTACTTAATCTTGTCATTCCCTACCTGTCCACCAGGATGCCTCAGACCTTTCCTAGCCATTTGCCAGTCACCTAAACTTGCTCTGTACGACATATATAAATAGCAACCACTTCCCAGTTGTGCCTGTTAACTGCAACTGAGTTTAAAGACATTCTGTCAGTCTGTGTGACCTGCATTACTGACTGTCCCCTTTTAGTTTTATGCTTTGGACTGCATTTATGTTGCCAAACTAAAGTCTGCTTTTTGACCAAGTTGCTTTGATTTTACCTGTGCCAGTGCCATGCAATTTCTTCCAATGGCCCATTATTCTGAAACCCCAATAGTCCCAGTGGACCGAAAACCCATTAGTCCAACAGCCTGTTATTCCAAAACAAATGCCCATTGCTCCAAAACAGTTGCCTATTAACATACATATCTATCATCCTTAGAGAAACATTAGTATTCATTTGGAGTTGTGTTTCAGGTGAAATAGGAGTTAATGAAGACTCTTAAAAAGCAATAGCCGAGCTTGGAATTTGTTTGGGATTGTTATATTTTAAAGCACATGCACGTATGCATCCCAGCATGTGAAGATATAGAGACGTTAGAAAGTATACTTATGTCTGTTGTGCACTGATGGCATTTTTGTGATATTTACCAGCTTTATGTCTGTAATGGTATACATAACACCATGACAGCTTCCGTGAGATCGATCTTACTGGAAGGACACAAAGAAAGGGAAGGTGGGAGGTTGAAATTGAAGATTGTAGACTTTGTTAAATAAATAGTCCTTGACTTGCCTACTGCAGATTTCTTTTGAATGAAGAAAATGACATGGACTCCTTTATCTTTCAGCAGAGAGGCTTTGCAGGAGTAAATCCCTCATCTACGTATGATCTATGGTGGAGAAAGATCATTTATGTTATGTTTTGTTAAAGAAAATGTATATTTTATATAAAATGGTAGTTCTTACGAAGCCAGTGACGTTTTCTGGATTCAAGGTAAGGAAAATGACTTTCTTTCTCTGACTTTTGAATAAACAGAGCTTATTTCATCAAAAATTTTAACATAAGGGAGGGATACCTCACACACACACACACACA